ACTATTTTAAATTCAGTTTTATTTTGCGTGACTTTGTTCTCAGTCTCAAAATAAGGCACTACGCTAATGCTAATGCGGCTTTTTGTATTAATTCGGTTCACAAATGCTTATTATTTAAAAATATTCATGCAAATGTATCACTTTATTCAGTAAAAAGTTCCCAGTACATTTTATATTTTCTAAGACAAGCATCTGCCTTAAGAAAGTTAAGTAAAAAGAATATATAATAAGGGTGACAAACGAGCACACCTAAAGTGAACGCTGTGGTCCCCTATACGAAATATAGCAGCACTTAACTGCTAGTTTAAGCTGCTATTACTATAAATGGTGAAACAAGAGTTGCAGACCCTGGCCATGATGAGGTATTCTTAACAAATCTTCGTACTTTATACGTGTAGATAGTGATGTATGGACAACAGGGTTCACCGCATCCACCATAGCTTCTGACGCCGCAAGGTCTGCAATACACTTTTTGCTAAATACAAATTCGTCCGTTCTCTCCGCAACTCTCTTCCTGCTGCATATAAATGATCTGCTCATTCCCGATGTCTATGGGTATGCAGACGACAACACAGTTGTGGAGAGATACCAACCAAGTGCCCGGGCCAGTCGGGATCAAATCCAGTCAGAAAGAGAGGCTATGGTTGAGCGTGTGAGTCTCACACTACAGGCAGTCTCCGAATGGGGCAATGCCAATCTCGTAAGATTTAACGCCTCCAAAACCCAAGCGTGTCTTTTTACCGCTAAAAGGAGCCCGCTCACCTTGGCTCCTACTTTCTGGAATGTATTCTTGGAGTACACTGACCGCTTTCAGTTGTTAGGGATTGAATTTTCTCCGAACCTAAACTATGGGTGGTTCATTGAGTCCGGAGCCAAAGCAGCCGCAAGGAAACTTGTTGTCCTTGCAAGGGTGCGGCGGTACTTCACGCCGGGGCAGCTTCTTACCTTATATAAAGCGCAAGTCCGGTCGTGCATGGAGTACTGCTGTCACATATGGGCTAGTGCTGCAAAATGCCACCTGGCAGCATTGGACTCAGTGGAGAGACGTGCTAAGAGGCTCATTGGTGACCTTGATTTGGTTGAAACCAATCTTGTCAGCCTCGAGCACAGGCGCAGAGTAGCTAGTCTCTCGGTATTCTATAGGGTGCATTTCGGTGAGTGTGCGCAGGAATTACACGCCTTAATTACTCCCTCTCCTTTCCACCATCGGACAACCAGACGGTCGGCGGGTCTTCATCCCTTTGTTGTCGATATTCCACGCATTAGAACCAAACGGTTTGCTTCGTCTTTTGTAATGCGTACAGCAAAGGAGTGGAATAATTTGCCGACGTCTATCTTTCCGTCCGAATACAATCTAGGCGTCTTCAAGGCAAGAGTGAATAGGCTTTTGTTACGATAAGACAGTGCAATTTACCATCTAAGGCTGCATCACTACTTACCACCAGGTGGGATCGTGGTCAAGCACTGACTATATACAAATTCTAATCCTCAATTTTAATTTAAAAGGAAATATAAACCTTATTAAGTTATTAAGTTTTATGATAGACTAGCTGTTCCCCGCGACTTCGCCCGCGTGTTATTTGGAGTTTTAATTTTTTTGCGCGGAACCTTAATTATTTTTCTAAAATAAAAGTAGCCTAAGTTACTCCTTGTGACATCAGCTATCTGCCTGTGAAAGTCCTATCAAAATCGGTCCAGCCGTTTCGGAGATTAGCCGGAACAAACAGACAGACAGACGGACAGACAGACAGACAAAAACTTTAAAAATTTTATTTTTGTTATTACTACCGTATATACTTTCATATGCAATTAGTAAAAAGCTGTAATTTTAACATTACAATCAGACACTTCAATTTTATTTATTTGTATAGATAATGTATTTTAATCTTTTATGTACGTATTACGCAATAGATTTATCTATTCTTATTGCGTAATACGTACATAAAAGATTTAAATACATTATCTATACAAATAAATAAAATTGAAGTGTCTGTTTGTAATATTAAAATTACAGCTTTTTACTAAATGCATATGAAAACATATACGATTCTTAAAACAAAAATACAATTTTAAAATTTTTATCTGTCTGTCTGTTTGTTCCCGCTAATCTCCGAAACGGCTGGACCGATTTCGACGGGACTTTCACTGTCAGATAGCTGCTGTTTAGAGTAGTAACTTAAGCTACTTATATTTTAGAAAAAGAATTAGGGTTCCACGCAAAATAATTAAAACCATAAATTACACGTGGGCGAAGTCGCGGTGAACAGCTAATATTATACCGTATATCGAGCTCAAACCACAAATAAAAAGTGTTTTTATTTTTTATTTATGCATGCCTTAAGCGCAAGCGCTTAAGTATGTTCTACTAGCGCCTAAAATCAAGAAACCAACGTTTTGTCGCGTGTAATCGTATCTAATAATCATATTGAACATATATGTAAATTATATAAAAAGCACATTGTCAGAAAGATAAATTATTGTTGAACTTATTTTTAAAATATTATTTGTGTTTGATGCTATTATTTCTCTTTTCACATATATGGCATATGAAAACAAATCTTAGCACGTATTAATGAGTAACTGGTTGAATTGAAATGCTAACGGTTGCACAGACACCCACAATATTCAAATTGAATTGTGAACATCGCGTCATTCTTTTGCGAATTTGACGGAAAATTTATTCCCCGGCACGCGTCCGGTAAACCCGCAGCAGAAATTAGTAATTTATTCGGTTTAATTTGTAGTAACTGTTAGAATTACACTCAACCCCGTACTGGAATGGCTAGATATAGAAATTATTGTAATACGCAATTACATTTCCATGCGAAGGACATTGGTTTTGCTTTCAAGTAGGTATTTGTCGTGGAAAGTACTATTACCTGTTACGGTACAATCATGTACAGAATATTATAATGTTTTTATATTTTATTTTAAAAGAGTTACCGTTACACTAAGTATCTGTGGCAGCAAGGGCTTAGTGCCCATCTTAAATGACACAGTACGCGAACACCACCAAGCTCTTGGTAAATCAGCACCTGAAACTGCAGTTAATACTTTCATTGGTGCCGGCAGGGATCTATCTTTTTGTTCTTTTTATGAAACATTATTCCCACTCCTTTTTTCTTCTTGTGGAGGTAGTAAACAATAATATAAGACTCAGAAAAATTATTTATAAGACAAACAAATACTTGTTCCGAGCGTGGCATTGGAACCCGCGTCGCAGATTGAACCCGGGTTGTTTGCGTACAGTGAAATCTACGGCGAGCGCTTAGAAGGAGTGGTCTAAGAAATTATTCTTTCTTTTTTTCCTTTTCATCATCCTGTAAAAGTTCACTGCTGAGTATGACCCCCCCACCCCCGGATAGAGAGTTGTGTCATGATTGTCTTCACGCTAATCCCAGTCTCATCAATAGCATCATCTATCGGATGCCATATAATTATTTCCCAGAATGTCCCATTGTCTCCTATAACGACACCCACGGGAAAAAGGATTGATGGATTTTCTTGAGAGCACAATAAATGATATTACTGTAAATTGTTAAAATTAAATTAATTATTCTCTTGTCGATTTAAATTACAGTTTTTCTGCCAAATAGGAAAATATGAAGGTCCGTTTATTAACTATTTCTAGCAATTGTTAAACCATCCTGTAACGTTTTTAAACGTGGTAGAGCCATGCTGCAGCTATATTAGTAGTATAGTTGTAGCATGAATCGGTTCTACCGGGGAAGGACCACGCTCTCCCAGAATACCAGCGTAAAATAGCAGCTTAACACTGCTGTGTTTCGTATGGTGAGTGTAGAGAACCGGAGACCCTTTTTACTGGAAAAGAGGCATTCCATCTTAGTCCTCACGGGTACAACGCATCTGCATTTTGATTCGCAAACGAGGAAAGATTTAGATGTCTATGGGCCACAGCAACCACTTACCATCAGGTGGACTGTGTGCTCGTTTGTCACCCTATCCTATAAAAAAAAAACGTAAGTCCGCCAATACGTATTCAAAACGGGGTGGACACTAAAAATCGTCTTAGAAATTAAAGAAATCGTACATTACTATAGTTCTTAAAGAGTCCACTACTGATCATAAACCTCCTGTTAAGATTTATTATAACCCATATTTTGCAAAAGAAAAAAAAATTGAGAGTATTTTCCGGCTGGGTTAGTCAAGTTGACTTTCTATAATCGTTGACGCCAATAGAAAACTATAAAATGAATGCGTCATATAATATGTCATTCCCTTTCATTTTAATGCTTCTATATGCTTTGACTATTATAAAACGTCAACTTGGCTAACCCCGCTGAACCAATCCATCGACTCTGAATATCTCATCAGCTCACTATAAAACATTATTCAGATTAATGTTTTATCAACTGATTTTAATGTATCACAGAGGAAAACGATTACTTTTAAAACTGTTCTATGTTGATTTAGTCGTCGTTTACCGAAGGTTAATCCGTTGTTTTATTGCTATTAGATTTATGATTCAATCGGGTAAAACCTTTGTGTTTCACGTCCGAGAGGACATTGCGCGTTTCAAAAGAAACATCTATTCCGTAACATTACATGCGCTGTGTGCTTTAGTAGGACTGCAGAAAATAGTTACTACAATCGCGTCCTTGCATTTAATTCCCCTGCAGTTGATGAAGTCAGACTTTTTACTAACTCTCTCGATTTTAAACTCAAACAGCCACTAACCTATTTACTAATTTGTTTAAAAACTAAATCGAACGCTTTTGAATCTGTTTTATATCCATGGTAGTCGATGAAGTCAGACGTTATTTCATTAACTGTTCTCGATACACAAATAACTAACCTATTTTCTAATCTCATTTTCAAAATATAATAAAATTTAAATATTTATCTCATATAGTATTATTGAATAATATTAAAATGGCGCGAACTTATAAATATTAATGCATGTGTAATAAACGCTCGTTAGTATTGTAATATTAATACTCGTAATATGAATACAATTTCACTATTTAGTGTTGTAGTAGTGTAGTGTTAATAAATTTCAATCATTGACCTCTTTCAGATCAATATTACGGAAGGGCATTTCTGCGACTGACGAATATCTCGAGTCATTGCCGCCTATAATTTTACAAGATGGGCTTAAGAAGAAGTTGTAGTAAGTATTTTTTTTAAATAAAATATTAATAATACCATACCATAAAATATTAATAAATGGTTTGTGTCACGACAGTAGACGAATGGCGGATCCGAACCCACGACCCTTGAATTCACACTGACTGCCTCGTTGGTCTAGTGGTTGTAGTAGTGCGACTGCTGATCATGAGGTCCCGGGTTCGAATCCCGGGTCGGGCAAAAAAATCAGTTAGGTATTGAGTTTTTAAAAAATTCTCAGTAGCTGCCCAGAGTCAGGAAGTTGACGGTGTCTCACCCCCGTGCCTCGGAAAGCACGTTGGTCCTGCGCCTGATCTCTCTCCGGTCGTGTCGGCTTACCGTCCCATCGGACTTTGAGAGTGAGGGAATAGAGAGTGCACCTGTGCTTGCGTATACACTTAGGCACTATAATCCTGTCCTGCGCCGATGACTAGTCTCCGTTGAGATTGGCCGCCGTGACCGAAATTCGGTCTGGAGGACATTATTATTATTATTGTTATTAGGCTACTGTCGCTTCATTCAGTATGACTATAATTTTCTCTTATAGATAATCTGTTATCGTTTGCCGGTGTAAGAGAACTCATCACCTCATTTCCCCTCGCGGATGTCGTAAAAGGCGACTTTGGGAGTGCCGGGTTGTTCGACCATCGCTGGCACCAATGAAATTGTTAATTGCAACTTTAAGTGCTGATTTACAATATCATGTTTGACCTTAAACATCATAAAGAACGTTTTAATTATTTAATCCGTAAACATTTCACAAATGTGTCATAAAATTAGTAGATTTAAGTACTACGAGTATATACTATATGCAACAAAATCCACAAACTGTAGCTGTAGCGAATCTAGTTTTCATGTGATTGTATATTATTATCATATTATTATCTATTTCTTTTTTTTAATTCACTTCACTAAATATCTATGTCAATTGCGGTTTCATGTAAGAGTCTGAACACGTGGCATGTAGTCCTCGCAGTGTTGAGTTATATTTTTGTCTCAGTGTTGTGTGTCATCCGTTGGTGATCCAAATCAAGAGGGAGAAACCCTGCACGACTAAGATATAAAATGTTTCGAGGACATGTGAAGTCTGAAAAACAACGCGCACTGGAGTAGCAGGACATGGTTACAGTTATAGGATCCTCTCAGAATGAGTGGAGGTCTGTGCCCAAAAGACGGACGTACATAGGCTGTAACTTTTATTTTATAGAATAAGGTAGGAAAACGAGAACACTGTAATGATGGAAAGTGGATGCTGTGGTCCATAGACATCTACATCTATCCTCGATTAAGAATCAAAATGTAGAGTGCTGTCACCCCTGAGAACTAAAATGAACTGTCTCGTTTCCGGTGAAAAGGGTCTCTAAAAATCTATTTGATTATGCAATTTTACGTCGTTTCTAACTCTTTTTCGTTTTATTATTTGCATGTGTCTAAAATTGTGTCAACCTATCTTAAATTATTTTCCTGAGGCAATTGCGTGATTGTTTGTTAGCCTATTCGGTACAATTTTCTTTCTTTTCTTTTCTTTCTTTTTTTTCTTTCTTTTTTTAATAAACGTTACCCCCACACTAGGATTTTCTCCTGTATCGTGGAGGCAGTTTACAAACACAAATTTCACAAGGACCAACACCCAGACCCGGAACAATTATTTGTAGGCCATACAAATACTTGTTCCGTGCGGGATTCGAACCCGCGTCCCCCAGCGCAGCAACTCATTGCTAAGCCACTGCGCCACGGAGCCGTAAAATAACTTCCTGATGAGCTAAACATCTGTAAAACTTGATAACTTCTAAGGCTATAAACATAGCTCAGAACTAGAAATGTGAGAAGAATTGGTCGAAAATTATAAATAATATTTTCATTTTCTTGAAAAAAAAAATTTATTTTTATTCTACTAACCATCGGATCTTAAACGACTGGTATTAACAACAACCTTACTGTTTATTTACTGCTACTACGTGATCTGACTCAACAAGTTGGATGGGATAAGACGGATAAATACTGTGATATTACAACATAACATATCGCAGATTATAGATTATTTACACTGTGGTAGGACTTATTTTCTGTCTAGGTGTCCATACCACCACCACCATAGGTACCACCCTTTCTTACTCACTTATTTTTCAGCCCAGAGACAATCACAATACCACCGGACTCAAAGAACAACAATTCATAGTTTATGTGTTTGTACAAATGTTTGCTCCGGAACTTCTTCTCCGGAGAAAACATTTGTCCAACAGTCCAACTTTAATGCTGTGGCTTAATAGTCAGGTACTATGAACACTAAATATTGTTATCTGCCGACTTCCAAAAAGGAGACGGTACTCAATTGGACTGTATGTTTTTTTTATGTGTGTTACTTCATAACTTTTTACTGGGTGAACCGATTTCGATGATTCTTTTTTTATTTGAAAGCTGGTACTTCAAATGTGGTCCTACATGAATTTGATCAAGGTCAGAGCAATAGTTTTTGAATTATTCTTACAACACCCAGACCCGGAACAATTATTTGTAGGCCATACAAATACTTGTTCCGTGCGGGATTCGAACCCGCGTCCCCCAGCGCAGCAACTCATTGCTAAGCCACTGCGCCACGGAGCCGTAAAATAACTTCCTGATGAGCTAAACATCTGTAAAACTTGATAACTTCTAAGGCTATAAACATAGCTCAGAACTAGAAATGTGAGAAGAATTGGTCGAAAATTATAAATAATATTTTCATTTTCTTGAAAAAAAAAATTTATTTTTATTCTACTAACCATCGGATCTTAAACGACTGGTATTAACAACAACCTTACTGTTTATTTACTGCTACTACGTGATCTGACTCAACAAGTTGGATGGGATAAGACGGATAAATACTGTGATATTACAACATAACATATCGCAGATTATAGATTATTTACACTGTGGTAGGACTTATTTTCTGTCTAGGTGTCCATACCACCACCACCATAGGTACCACCCTTTCTTACTCACTTATTTTTCAGCCCAGAGACAATCACAATACCACCGGACTCAAAGAACAACAATTCATAGTTTATGTGTTTGTACAAATGTTTGCTCCGGAACTTCTTCTCCGGAGAAAACATTTGTCCAACAGTCCAACTTTAATGCTGTGGCTTAATAGTCAGGTACTATGAACACTAAATATTGTTATCTGCCGACTTCCAAAAAGGAGACGGTACTCAATTGGACTGTATGTTTTTTTTATGTGTGTTACTTCATAACTTTTTACTGGGTGAACCGATTTCGATGATTCTTTTTTTATTTGAAAGCTGGTACTTCAAATGTGGTCCTACATGAATTTGATCAAGGTCAGAGCAATAGTTTTTGAATTATTCTTAAATAACTTATATTGAAGTCGGCTGTACAAAATTTTTAATTTTAAATTATTATAGAACGAAGTTCCTTATCGGACGGTACGAATTTGGCGGGGCTAAGCGAGATAAAGTGTAAGATTTTTCCGTCACGACCCCTTCTGGCGTAGTGTACGTATGGACTCGTGGACTTGGCGGCTATAAGGAAGCGAGATGGAATAATATCGTTCTCCCTTGCACTTTTCTTATCTTGCCATAAAAGAAATATTATTTTATATTAAATGGCGCTTCATTTCAACAGACGCTAATAATTCATTTATTTGTATTTGTTAATCAATAATATAATACGTTTATCAACAACAATATACTATGTAAGGAACTTCGTTTCAAACGAGTGTTTCACAACACTCACGCATGTTTTTTTATGGAATAAGGGTGACATCGAGGACACAGTTCACATGACGGTAAGTGAATTCTGTGGCTTATAGAATTCTATATTTATCCTCCATTAAAATCAAAATGCAGGTGCATTGCCACCCCTGAGTACTAAGACAGAATGCCTCGATTCGACTAAAAAGGGTCTCCGGTTCTCTACACTCACCATACGTAACACGGATCAAAGCATTGAGGTGCTATTTTACACTGCTATTCCGAGACCGTGGCCCTTCCCCGGTCGAGCCGACTCATTCGTGCTACGTGGTACGCACGACACGCTGATGATATATCCTATTATGCAAAACTTGAAATCCGTGTGGTCGCGGCGTATTGATATCCATTAACCCACTTCGTCCGTCGTGTTTTAAAAGGCGACTAATAGGAAATGCCAGAAATACCTTATGGCTTCGGATAGAGGTCGGTAGACAGGCGTAATTCATTCGTTTCTAATGACCCGATCATTGAAGTATTGATTCATCTTACGTACCGGGTCATTCGGGTCAATCATTGAAATGGATTATTTCGAGATTCAGTACACTGATATTTGTTAGACCCGCTCAATAATGTCGGTCATCGGACATTACTATACTCTTTGGTCTTACGTCCTGTCAATCGTTTCATCAGGAAAGTTCAAAAAGTGTAATTGCAATCATCAATACTTTGATGCGATCCGGGTCATATGAAAGAATCATTCAGGATTGACACATGTCTAGATGGCGCTACAAGCATCTCGTCAAACGTATAATATCCAGACCGGACACGGCGAGCTGAGTATATTAAAATATACAAAATTTGACCTGCTCGAAATTAAAAAAAAACAATAAACAAAGTTTCTATAAAAGGGGTTATTATAATATCAAGGAGTTTATGGACGATAATAACCCCTGGGAATGAGGTGATTGCTACCAAGCTATTTCTAATTTGTTTTGTGGTTAATTGTGTAACATGCATGATTGTAAGCTGGTATTTAAAAAAAGTCCCGCAGGGTTTCTTGCTGGTCCCAAGACCGAGGCTTTTTTCGAAGCAGTGGATTAAACAAAAGAGTGACTTTCAATAAGTATTATTTATAATCTATTTTGAATAAAAAACTTTCTGTTTCTGTTTCTGGGACGAAGGTATGAGACATATTGTACTGCGGTCGTTAATCTGCCTGCTTAACAACGTTTAAGGCATATCTTCCCTGCCTGAGAAGTCCATGTCCATATTAGACTTTAAGAGATAATATCATCCATCTACTTTTTTAGAGG